TTGTGGTGGTGAGTTGGAGATCAACTGCTGAGGAGTGCTTGGCAACATCCAGTACAGTGGTCCCTCGGTTAACGAACACAGTTCGTTCCAGAAGGTCGTTCGTTAACCGAAAATTTCGTTAACAGAATCCATTGTTTCAATGGGATGTTGGGTAATTGGTTCCAGTTCACCGAAAAGTACATACAAAGAAAAAAAATGCAGTAAAGTACACTTACTCTGAGGTGTGTATGTAGAAGGTTCCTGGTTGATGATGATGATGGGAATTAGAAGTAGGGGTGGAGGAGAAGGGAGAAGAGAAGGAAGTGGGGGATGGAGGAGAAATCACCTTTCAGGGGACCCATGCTTGATGCAGTAATTTCACAAATAAAATTTTAAGTTCACTAGGTGTAATTCAAGATTATTTTATTTAAATCAACACTGCACTGCTCTATATATTATCAATATGTTAACTAAATTTCAGAATGACCAATAATTTTAATGTAAAAATGCAAAAATATTCAAGACACCAACAAAATCGATGTTCACTCCACTGTAAACAAAGTCAAACTGACACTTGGTGGGTGAGCCAAGCAGCTGAATGGGTGCACAAAAAAACTAGTTCCCTGTACTGCATATATTATCAATATGTTAACTAAATTTTAAAATGACTAATAATTTTAATATAAAAAAATGCAAAACTATTGAATAGCACAACTTTCTTGATATTTACTCCACTGGAAACAAATGTAAACATAGAACAGATTACTGAATTGGCAGACTAGCCCATCAGCTGCTCAGCTGATGCTCACAACAAAACGTGTTTGTCGTAAGGATTTCGTTATTCGAAGTTTTGTTTGTTAACTGAATTAAAGATCCTTATGGGAGCTAATTCGTTAACCGATATTTCGTTAATTAAACCGTTCGTTAACCGAGGGACTACTGTATATGGTTATCAGTATTTTAGTGAAATACTGCTGCTTTCTCTAGCAACTTTGAGATGAGATGGCACAACTTTTAGAAACCACATTTACCACAAATTTGGCTTACACATAACATTCTAATAATACATAATGGGTGTTTGGAGAGTTAGCCTGGATATGAGTACTGTATATAAGAAATATACAAGTGACAAACTTTTGAAATGGAGAGACAAAGTCATTTTTAGAGGAATCCCATAGCTACTCACAGAGACCCAAACAAAAATTAATTTAATTCAAAATATAAAGTCACAATTATTAACAAAAAAAAAGCACCATCAATAAACTCCCATATTAAGATACTGTACTGTCAAGAACATGAAGCGTTTCTTTAGAGACAAGGAACAATGGAGACGACACTAAAAAGAGCTGGAAGACACCAAAAACCCAGTACTGTACTGTACTGAATAAGGACAACCCTCAATTACAAGCAGTAATGGTAAATTCAGTATTCCTTACTGTTTTATTCTGTCTCTCCCTACCCGGGCCATCATGACCATTCTGCACAGCTGTCTCCACTGAGGTTCCCTATAAAATAAATATTCTATGGCACTTAGAATAAAAATCAAGAAATGGAAAGGACAAAAGATATTTCACTGTTCTAATATTAACTAACAAACTATGATTCAATGACAACAATTTTTACTGGATTTAACCTTGTCTAGTATAACTACTTTTGCTGACCAAAAAAGATACTAATGGAGGACTGATCCTGAAATCCTACTTTATGACTTGATTTGGAGCTGAGTGACTCATATGCAGTAAACCCTAGTTATTTGCAGTTTTGACTATTCACAGTAACCAGCCTCCGCAGGAGCAGTGCAAGTCACTCCCACGTGCTCACTGCGTCTCTTCTCTCTTGTTTGCGCTTAACCATCGTTCACGATGCAGCATCTCTCGTGTTGTGCTCAAAACTTTAGTGTTTTCTGTGCAAATGGCCCCTAAAGACTGCCTAGTGCTAGTGATGCTAGTACAGTATTCCCATAAAGCTCGTGGCCTTTAAAGCTTGTTTCCCTTGGAAACTCACAGATTGCAATGGAAAATAAGTAAAATAAATCTGAGGCTGTGCCAGGGATCAAGAGGAATCAACACTACAGGCCAGTACAGAGCACCATATACCGTATATATGGCGGCGTATAAGTCGACCTTTGAAGCCAAATTTTTAGTGTCCAAAGTTTGGGAGTCGACTTATACAATGGGTATAAAATGATGACCTCTAAAACCATGAGAGTATTTTGTATTACAACCTTCATATTTACCTTTAATATAATTGCTCTATTTCTATTTTGGATGAAATAATTTTTTTCTCAGTAGTTTTATTTAAACACCTTTTGTTATTGATGGCTGTGTGTGGACTGTGGTGGAATGAGCAGGAAGTGTTGTTGTGATTGTTGGGTCAGTCACTAATGATGTTAATAATAATAATAATAATAATTAACGGTTTATTGAAAAAATTCTGCAGCCCGAAGGCTGAAAATATACATTTGGACATAAATGACTTATTACATACATTGGTGTGTGACGTCATGTATAGAATGGCTTGTTTGACTGTTTACCTGTTTATGTATGTGTTTTGATGGTTGACTTGGTCCTTCACAACACTTGACAGCTGCTGGAGTTGGGGGGGGTCGACTTATACGCCGCAAAATACGATATACAGTGAACCCTCACTTTACACGGTCAATTGAACCCATGGCAGCCCGCATAAAGTGAGAAACGCGTAAAGTGAACAACATAACATATGGGATTAATTGAAATAGAGACGGGGACGACCCCCACACTCCACTTTTTCAGACACAATACCTACGTTGTAGTAAAAATAACTTCTTAATTTTATGATGGTATGCACACACAATTAATAATTAAGAGAAATATCAATAATATTAGGTTTTTTAACACTTACATTAGTAGAAAAGATGGCTGGGCACACGGGGATGGGGGGTTGGTTACGAGGCAGAGGGCAGATTATTGGCTCTCACCTGTATCACTTGTATCACTATCCACCACAGAGGCTTGCGGGGCCTCTTTGTCAAACCCCCAAAGTCCATATCCTCACTATCATTATCACTATCACTGACTTGGGCCGGCTGTGGTGGGTGGCAGGTGAAGAACTCGGTAATGTTTTGATGACTGGGCGACCTTGTGCGCACCCTGCTCGCGCCGCTCTCCGCGTAAAAGGGTACACACACCGCGGAAAGTGAGCATTCCGGTTTCGGCAGGGTACTGCGTAAACGTGTAAAGTGAAACCGCGTAAAGCGGGGGTACCCGCAAAATTCTGGACAATTACAGGGATGGGGATATTTTTCCTGGTTCGTAAGATGATGTAATGGGCAATTTCTGGAGCTTCCGAGAACATTTTTCCGTGACCCGGAAAATTCCAGGTATGAGGGATATTTTTTGGCTTTGAGAGAGTCGTCTCGTTACCCTGAAAAGGCAAAAATAATACATAGAAAATCTAAAATGGGTGTCTCTTTTTCTTCTCAGCACCACAAGAACTCTCACTTTTACCCTCGCCAGCCATTTTAAAAGGAATTACTAACAAAAATTTTGTCAGTACACAGGGCGATCACTAACGTTGGGACACGAAAATACATAATTTGAAAAATATTTTATACGATTGCGGCGGTAGTATGTCCGGGTGGTCGTAAGTCGAGGAGTATCTGTATTATTTTATACAGTAAGTCCTCGTTTAACGTTGCCCCCGACAACGTTGTTCCTTTATAACGTTGCTACCCTTTAGATACCCATGATTCGGACAACGTCCCGCCGATTTGGTATAACATCGTCACGGACTTCTGTGTACAGCACATCGCCCTCTCTCACCCAATCAGAGCGGGAGGAGGAGCCACCCTCCGGGTCTCAGCGACTCACCACCTTCCTCCTCTCCCGCCCACACCCTCTCCCGCCCTCACCCTCTCCTGTCCACACCCTCTCCCGCCCTCACCCTCTCCCACCCTCACCCTCTCCCGCCCACACCCTCTCCCACCCTCCTCCTCTCCACTATCCACCACACACTCGCTCCACCTCCGTCCATCAGTGAGTACAATACAAAATGATTTAGTTTATTTATTTTTTGGGAGTATAATATACAGGTACACTGTATACTATTTTCTATACAAATTCCACTGAATTTATGTATATGTAATGAATTTCATGGGGCAAAGGGAAAATTTATTCCGTTAATGCCGTGGTTTTCAGGAACAGAATCACGACGTTAAGCGAGGACTTACTGTACTGTAAAATGTTTACAGTATATACTGTACCTTTAAGATAAAATAAAATGTTTAAAAGCTCATATTACGGGTGGATAAACGTTTTTGAGGTGCCCAAACCTAAGCTATTACAGCTAGACCCCGACTTACGACTGCTTCGACTTACGACCGTCGGGACTTACGACTGCCGCAGTTGTGACCATTTTTTTTCTCCAAATGACACACGCATTTTCTTTACCGAAACGTTTCCAGTTAATGTAGTCTCCATGTATAATTAGAAAATTATGGGGGCTCCATGTGCATTCAGCTGACTACATTAAAGGTAAGTCACACTGTATCCATTCCTCATTATTTATTACTTTCACTGTACTGTATCCATTCCTCATTATTTATTACTTTTACTGTACTGTATTTCATTGTAGATTTTTTATTAATTATTTTTTATCTATGTCGGACTTACGGCCATTCAGACTTACGACCTGGATTTGGGTCCCTAACCCCGTCGTAAGTCGGGGTCTAGCTGTATTTCCCTTTGAGAAGTTACCTCCACTCATGTTTAGTTCTGCCTAAATTACAACCCTGTTTCAAACAAAACTTTGAACACCCATGGGGGACCAACTGTGGTAAAAACTGTGGTTTAAACTGAACACCTTTGATTATGGAGATTATTTAGTAGCTTCTCATAAATTTTGAATAGAATTACAAGATATACTACACTGTAACTCATATCCTGGACCCTTTATTAGCTTATTTATGTTCCAACTGTTAATACATCATATGTTAGGTAAATATGATATACAGGCAAACTCTTTTAACAGATTGCCATACATACCTTTAGATTATTGTCCCTTGCAAATTTTTCAGACTTCTCAATAACCTTTGGAGTGGCAGGGTAGTAAACAAAAACTTCAGTGAAACGATACCAAACCACGCCTGCAAGTTAAAGTAACATTAAGTTTAAAAATATGTAAGTATAAACTACATACATTGTGATATACAAGGCAATTCATCATAGGTTAAGAAATTCTGCCAAAATAACAAACGCCACTCATTCATACAACAAGATATATTTTAAAAAAACAATATTAAATTACAAAATTGAAGTTAGTTTATAACACACAGACGCCACTAGGAGCAGATATACAACCTAACATTAAAAACATATCTAACAGGCTAAAATCTGATGTGTTCGCTCAAGGATGCATGTAAGAAAACCAATATGCATTAAGTTCCTTTTCATGTAATGGGCTGATACTCAAAAGTATTTACTGTTCAGGTAATGACTGTTATACAATGGATCAATATGTGATTGATCAGTTTGACAATGTAAAAAATTAACACCATTTACCACTACTCGATGGCTAAGATCAGTTTTACGATGGTCGTTACCTAATGATTTCCTACACTGTCAACGCTATGAAAAAGTGATGTGCAATAATGCACAATATTCCTAGTTATGATGACAGAATCTAAGAATGGCATAACATGTGCAACCCACACAGGATGCGTGGAAGGTTCTGCCCATCCCTGGTGATTGCCAGGCAAAGCAGTTGAGCGTGTCACATTGCCCTGAGGATGGATTGCATGTAAAGAAGCACCCACACACACACATGAATTTTGATCCGTTTATGTTTTTGACCAATGATAATTTTTATTTGTTTTATATAATTTTTGGCAAATCTGTATAAATGATTTTGAGTACAATGAAAGACAAAAGTCTGGTCGTGAAATTTGGTGAAAACATGTGCCAAGGGCCAAACTTTTGTGCGTTTTGCCTTGTGGTAGGGGTTCTCATAATGTTTACAGTTATATTTAACTTTGACAAACCGCGAACAATTTTTTTTGCTGATTGTACATGACATTGTAAATAAATGAAAAATAAATAAATAAATAAAAAATACCAGTAATATTTACATGTGCAGGGATCCCCAAACTCTCTCAAAAATAGCGTAGAATTGCCTAATCCGTAATAATATTTACGGACTGGGGAAAGGGGTGTACGTGATATCCGCCTACAAGGCGACGGGGTGTATAAGACGGCCCCCAAAATTTCCATTTAAAAAGTAGCTTTTGAGCCCTATTCGCTGTATAAGACCGGTACCCCAAATGTGACATTACCATTGGGAGCTTACTGACCCAGTAGTCCTTTACCAACCATCCCATTGACCAGTGCTGTTTACACATCCTTGGTTTTTTAAAATAAAGCCAATTCACTTCAAGTAATGGCATCAAACGTTACCGGTTGATGTAGTGTAAACACGTGACTCACTTAAAAGTTTGTTATTTAACTTGAACTAATGTCGGTGTCGAATACAATTGTTTCATTTACTTAAAATGGATTTACCGATTTATTTGTTTATTTATATCATACTGTAATATATTAAACACACTGGAAGTATTTTCTTTAATTTATAAGCTTGCTTCAGCGAGCTACAGTATTCTAATTCAATAGTGTTTCATTAGGATTTGAGTGAAAAAGATTACTGTACATACTTACTACATACATTTATTACACAAATATATATATACATATATATATATATATATATATATATATATATATATATATATATATATATATATATATATATATATATATATATATATATATATATATATATATATATATATATATATATATATATATATATTCACAATATTTTATAATTGCAGTCATGTACTGAATATTCTATGTAAAAAATATAAATTTTAAATGAATTATTTCTAGTGTGGTCGACTTCCTACACAAAGACGGGCTATAAATAGCCGTCTTATCTCCCCTCTGTTCTGAGAGAGAAGGTCTTGGTAAATAACTTTTGTTTGTTTATTTTCATTGTCAAATTTATCATGTTGTATCAAAGTAATATTACTAAAAGTTTTAGGCAGCTACCAAACAGGGAGATTCTACTGCCTGGGAAGATATTGGAAGCATAATGTACAGTATTGTCTAATGGTAGATCCTACTTCCATATGGCATCACGAAAATTGTGACCAAGTCTTAGGTTGCTGATTTATCTTACTGCCTCATTTACACACAATTGCTGAGTTTCAATTGTTTCTCTTCCTTTGACAACACAACATACATACAATATAATGTTTCACCTTTGATCTTTTTTCCATTTATTTATGGTTGGTTATTTAAAATAATGCCAATTCACTTCAAGTATTGGCATCAAATTTTACCAGCTGTTGTACACTAGTGACTCACTTAAGCGTCAGTTATTTAACTGGAACTAATGTTGGTGTGAGTAAAATATTTCCATTTACTTGAAATAGATTTGCCGATTTATTTGTTTATTTATTTAGCTATAATATATTGTAATACATTAAACACACTGCAAGTATTTTCTTTAATTATATACTTGTTTCGCGAAAAAGGGAGGCTACCATTATACCTGGTAGATGAAGTTGACCAGACATTTATGATCATTAACGACCAAACTCCGAATCCATGACATGACTTCTGTTAATCATTCTCATCCTAAATTTACCACTGTCGGTAGTTTCAAGAATTAACGCAGTCATTTACTGAATATTCTTTGTAAAAAAATTAATTTTAAATTAATTATTTATAGGAGATAAGTATTATGATCAGTAAATATACAGATATGCATTACTGACCACCTCCGAACACAAGGACGGCTAAAAATAGCCACAGGCGGTCACTGTCAAGGTCGCTTTCCCTTTCTCGTCACTGGCAAATGGGGGGGGGGGGTGATGATAGCAGCTGTGTTTATTACCGGGGTATATTGTTGTTTTACGGTATGTTAGACTGGTTTATAATACATTTTTATTATTTTAATATACCGGTAATCTTCATTTTAATCCAGCTTCCCAAATGTAAGTTTCAGTATAAAATAATTAGTGGTAGGACCTTGTGAGTGGTTTACCATGTTTCCATCACCACTCTTGACACGCTAAACCGCAAAATTTAAGAGGTAAGAATTTTATCTCTGGTGCTTAAGACGACCCCCTAACTTTGGGCTGATTTTCTTTTTGTTCAAATTCCGTCTTGTAGGCCGAGATATACGTAATATTCTACTTGTACAAAAAATGTACAGTATATTCCTCATGTGTTTGCCCTTAGGACAATTATTTCCTTGCCTGATTGTAAACTTATGTGTGTTGTGTGTAACACACAAAAACAATAAATAAAATATAAAATCAGAAAAATTTATAAATGTGAGTCTACCCTCAAGTCCGCTCTCTAATACAGTACTTTTATTAATAGAGCACGGCTAGAGGGTAGACACTGTCACATTTTATAAATTTGTTTCTGATTATTGTAAATATTTCCAATTATTTATTTGTATGGTTATGCCGCAGCGACGCCACGCACGCGCACGACACGACGCAACGCGACGCACGCACGCACGCACGCACGCACGCACACACACACACACACACACACTACTACTACTACAGGCAAAAGTAAGAATTGTCCTAAGGACAAACATAAAGGGAATATACATTTCTTTGTACACAAGTAAATATGTACACACCGTCAGCAAAGTTATTCACGGATTTGGCGATTTGCAGCCATTTTGAGATCTGACCCCCCCAATTTGGGGGACCCCCTGTACATGTATGTGGGCAGGCATACTGCCAGGCTGTGAGGTAGCTGCACCACTGACATAATGGCTAATCCTAAACTGGCTTGTTTGGACACGTAAACACTCATAATGTAATGACCAATATGATTAAACTATTTTAATACAACTAGACCGAGTCCAAACCAGAGAGACAGGCAAGTGCAAAGTTTTACTGGAACACTCTATATTTTCTATCCGGAATTTAGACAGTACCGGTAAATGGCAATAAGAACATATACAGTAGTGAGGGAACACGGACTGTAGAACTGTAACCAAAATATGATGATTAGTGTGTACGCATTAGTGCAGCAGTTAGAATACCCACTTTCACCCTTACCTGGTATATGATGCTTCACAACTCTGGGGCCTGAGGCTGGGATCAAGAAGGATTATCTGATTTGGAAATATTTTCTGATGTAACTCTCGCCACAAATGATGGAGACCTTCAAACCTTAATTTTTTAACTGATCAGTCTAATACTGTAATTGTAAATACTTGTGTCACACATTTTTAATTACCCATAAAATAGTATCCAGTGTGTGATCATGTCATGATTTACAGCTGATTACTTTTACTTTTATCCTCTTTACCACTGATCGGCTTGTTAGCCGCCAGGCATCGGTCACGTCTCTATTATGCACTGTTGGCAAGTACTGGGCATGCACTGGCTCCTGAATGTACAGTAAGTCTGTGCTTAATGTCGTCCCGCTTAATGTTTTTTCGGTACCACGTCGCTAAACTTTAGGGACCAAAAATTCGTTTAACGTCCTGGGGATCCAATACTACATCGTTTTGCATTGTCATGGACTACTTCCTACGGCGCATCACCGCTTCTTATCTGGCTGTGCTACGCTCTCAGCTTGGCAGTCTCAGTGACTCAGCCCTCCTCCACTCCTGCCATCCTCCTCAGCTTCACTACCCACCACACACTTAGTACAGTAGTTGTATATGTATGCACTATTTTCTATAGAAATGGAAGTGATTTTTTGTATATGTAATGTATTTCATGGGGCAAAGGGAGGCTCAGGAAAGAAACTCCCGTATTTTATATATTTCTTATAGGAAAAATTGATCCGCTTAACGTTGCTTCGTATAATGACGATTTTTTAAGAACGTAACCCCATAAGCGAGGACTTACTGTACCTGAACCTGCTCCAGTGTTGGTCAAGACTGGTCTTGAAAGAGCTCACACTCAGTGACATCATAACACTTTCTGGCAGATTGTTCCAAGAGGTCACAATTCTCATTATGAAAAAGTTTGCCCTCACAGTTTTCTGGACTTGGCGCTTCTTCAATCTTGAGCTGTGACCCCTAGTGAAGGCCCCGCCAGCTCCAAATAGGACACACTCGACTGAGTAGTGCCCTTGAGATGCTTATACACCTCAATTAGGTCGCCCCTTGCCGCCTGTAGTATAAGCTTGCAAATTCAGGCGCTCCAATCTCTCAGGGTAGCTGAGGTGCCGAAGTGCGAACAGTATGCAGTGTGTGATCATGACTTACAGCTGATAGTATACAGTGTGTGATCATGACTTACAGCTGATAGTATACAGTGTGTAATCATGACTTACAGCTGATAGTATACAGTGTGTGATCATGACTTACAGCTGATAGTATACAGTGTGATCATGACTTACAGCTGTTAGTATACAGTGTGTGACCATGACTTACAACTGATAGTATACAGTGTGTGACCATGACTTACAGCTGATAGTATACAGTGTGTGACCATGACTTACAGCTGATAGTATACAGTGTGTGACCATGACTTACAGCCGAGTTTCATCACTGCATAATTTCACTAGTTAACAGGACAACTCATGATCTTAAGGCTTACAAATTTCTTGATAGAATTGTAGCAAATAGACAACAGAAATAAAACTGTGTCTGTATAAGAAGTAACTAGATTATGTATAGATTGTTCCAAAACCTCCTTTCACACAAACACCTCAAAAAAAGGGCAGAATGATCACAAATGAAAGATAAGATCTCTAGCAAGAAGCAAACAACTATATACTTGCATACATAGTGAGTCATTTGTTCCCACATTTATTATATTAATTAACACCAAATCACAATACATACTAAGTTGAGCTGTCAGATTCATTCACATAAAAGTTTATAAGAAACAACTCCACTGTATATCTTCTAACACAATAACTTTTGACTTGGAATATGATACTTGAATATGGAGGTAAAAGCCAGAAAGAAGGAGTGTATGTGTGGATGGTAAAGTGAAGCTACATGAGTGTGTATACATGTGCTGACCTCTTGAATAAAGGAAAATTACAGTAAAAGTTAATCTATATGAACCTGAGATATGACTTTAGTTTGGGTAATAAAAATAAAAAAGTAAAAAAGAACACACTTGAGTGTAAAAATGAAATATATGAGGCACTTGGTGTAACACTGATGTATCAACCTACCATGGAGAAATAATATTCCTGACCAAATGTGTTGCCCAGGTGAATCTCTGTATGAAGCTGGCTAGAAGGAGATATGCCTTTGAAAGAAAGTAAAAAAAAAAAAAATATATAAATATATATATATATATATATATATATATATATATATATATATATATATATATATATATATATATATATATATATATATATATATATATATATATATATATATATATATATATAGTGATTCCTCCTCGTAATGCAATCCTCAATCTGCTCTAAAGTCGTTTTAACCGAAAGTTCATAACAAACCATTGTTTCAGTGGTTTGGTACTGGTTCCAGCTCAACGAAAAATTTCTAAATTCAACAAAATGGTCGAAAAGTTCACTTACCTTGAGGTGTGTATGTAGAAGGCTCCTGATGATGATGATGATGATGTGATGGATTTAGAATGGGGGGTGGAGGAGAAGGAAGAAGAGTAGACAGCATTGGGTGGAAGAGAAGTCACCCCATGGCGCCTATTTCACCCATAAAAATTTTAGCTCTTTGGTGTAATTCAAGATGTTTTCAGTAATTCAAAGACTGCACTGTAATAGAGAGAAGGTCAATATGTAAAATATATACTTAAAAATGACCAATAATTTGCTTGGAAACACAGAAAAGTTGCTTAGTTGAAGAAAGTCTCAAGCAAGATGTTACTCTCCAGTGAAAATGAGAGAGACTTAACGTACTGTTTGCTGTGTTAAGAGTTTGATGATTAAACTAGGTCAATTTTACTTTCAATTATGTCTGGCTAATTGTTAAAAATGACTAAAAATGAATATTATATATATATATATATATATATATATATATATATATATATATATATATATATATATATATATATATATGTATATATATATATATATATATATATATATATATATATATATATATATATATATATATATATATATATATATATATATATATATATATATATATATATATATTAATTCTATTTGTCCTAGCTTACTGTATTTGTGTTGTTTAATTCTGAATTGCAAATCTTTACTGTCTGGCCTAAGTAAAACATATATATATATATATATATATATATATATATATATATATATATATATATATATATATATATATATATATATATATATATATATATATATATATATATATATATATATATATATATATATATATATATACAATACAGTGAGGTATAATACGAATCTAATTGGTTCTAGAACCTTGTTCAAGTATTGGATTAATCAGTCCAGGCCCCCAAATACAACCACTTAACTGAAAAATATAATATAAAATTGTAAATTGTAAAAGTGCATAAGTATCTAAACACTGAAATAATGGTATCATTAATACTTGTAATAAAAACAATAAATTAGTAAAAAATAAATAAATAAAATAAATAAATAAATAAATAATGTTAGTTGTAGGAGTTTAGTTCGTTATAGCATTCTCAATTTTATAATTAAAAAGATAGTTATAGGAATATTCTAGTAGATCAGTTAGTTATAGCATACCCACTGTAAAATATATATATACCGTATGTATATATATATATATATATATATATATATATATATATATATATATATATATATATATATAATATATATATATATATATATATATATATACATATAAAAACAAAAAAAAAATATAAACATATATATATATATATACATATATATATACATATATATATATACATCATACATATATATATATATATATACATATATATATATATATATATATATATATATATATATATATATATATATATATATATATATATATAAAATAAAAACAAATAAAAATAAATCTCGTTATAAAACACAGAAATTTTGACCTTTTACTCAGTCTCTATGTGTGGTCCAGCTCCAGTGGAACACTAACATATTCACCACAGAGGGTGACCAATCAAAGAAGCATGGAGCTGTCTGTTACTCACTCAGCCAATGAGGGGCCCAGGATAAGAGGGTGCAGCCGGGAGGGGAACTATAGCTTCTGTTAGAACTCGCTATTATCAGATGCCACATGAATGATTCTCCATTATTTTCAGCCTAACTAGTGCTTCTCAAACACATACACACCTGTACACCTGTTCTAGGCTTGTGTTTATTATACTGTAATTAACATTTGTATAAATGATTAGTACACTGTCTAAAATAAACTTGACCTAAGAACTATTCCAACTTTAGCTTCATAGATTTTTTTACACAACTTAAAACTACATTAAATTCTCTGCCTTTTGACACCAGAATTTTTAAAATTGTATGGTTGGTTATGGAGTCATGATAAAAACATGACTCATTATCTCAGAATGTGATTTTTGTGTATAGGTCAATGTTCCACCGAGAGCCTCATAGTAATTACAAAACAGTGGTTAAATGATATAGTATAACTAAGTAAAATGAAGGTCTAACTTGCTAGCACACATGTCCAACAAGGATATAAAGAAGCTAAAACTCAGAAAAAATACTAACTGTTATCTTTGGGTCCCTGAGATAGTCCAGGGAACGAATCATTTTGTCCTGATTGAAATTTCCACGTTTGACATAGATACAGCCATGCGTATAAAAATAATGTCCGTACAATGGGATCAGCTGAAGTGTGTCCTTCATCACGTAGCGAAGATGGCCCAGGGCACCTCCTCGGATGGACACCATGTCAGCCACCAGCCAATCAACTGAGGGAAATAATCTGTTATTGTATCACTTCTAATACTGTATGTTTGATAATTTGACATTATTAGTTAACCAATTATTTGGATAAATCATCACCATTTTCTGATTTACCAAAACTTCACATATTTAATACATTAAGTTGATGTATAGTGAAGCCTGTCAACCCATAAATGGCAGTGTGGATACAGCACAATTTACATAAGCCCAAACTTATTCACACACAAGAAGAAATCATGGCCAGAACTGCCTTTCACTCTGCAAATGTAGAGACAAGTACTGTACTGTACTGTACTGTAACCAGTGGCCAGTAACAGACCTATAACTGGTAACCACTGGCCACGAAGCTACTCCAAAACAGGGTTCCCTAGTTTAGTGTCAATTCACTTAACGTTAATATGGTTTGCGATTTAAAAAATTTAGTGCTCTTCTCTCTTAGTATTAAGTAAAATTTAGTGCCTTCTCTCTCTTATATTAAGTAAAATTTAGTGCCCTTCTCTCTTAAATTAAGTAAAATTTAGTGCCCTTCTCTCTTAGTATTAAGTAAAAATTTGGTTTAGTGTTAGCTTCTTCACTGGAAAGGGGAAAACTTGGATAAGTTGGCCTGTGAGATGATTGGTTCATTGACTGACTGACTGACTGACTGATTGACTATGAGGCAATTACATCCCTGGCAGCATAACAGCCCAGGTCACATGGAGCCGAATTAAAATTAAGGCTTATAAGACTAAAAATAAAATAATTCAAGGTAAAAAACATAATAAATAACATATTACTTTCATTAAAACCTTTACAACATTAATAAAAAAAATCTAAGCTTGTGTAGAAGGCCGGCTTCCTCCATGAAAACGGACGTCCATCCAACGCCGCCCCCAGCACCAAGGAGGGACGGTAAGACCCATTCCCCCCAGACAGTCATCACACTGGGAGGATGCCCTCTCCATTAATAAACCATGAGTCAGATGTGTGTGGCCAATGAGGAGGGCCAAAGAAGTCTCCCAGTGTACGACAGTTCCTGATATCCTCAGGCACCCAATTCAGGATGGATGTCATGGAGCTTGTTTGCTCTGACAGCATCCCACCTGCATTGCCAACTCTAGTGGATAGCAGCTCTTATTACTGGCTTCATATCAGAGGCAGGTAGAAGGGAATAATGTGCCACAGGGCAAGAAACAGTTGCTTTTGCCACAGTATCAGCATGCTAATTTCCTTTCTCCCCCACAAGGGTCAGAACCCCTCCCAAAACATGACTTTCGGGCACTGACGTTAGATGAGAAATAGCCATAATAACATATCTATAACTAAGGGATGGGGCAATGAGACACTAGCTAAGACCTGGAGAGCACTATGAGAATCACTAAAAATTGTAAAATCACCAAGGTTGGGTAAAACTAATCTCGAGAACAAGTAAAATACCCAGAAGCTGTGCAGTAAAAATAGATGCCAACAGAATTTGGGAAAGACTACCTCAAAACCCACCCCGCACATGGAATCATCTGAACAGGAGGAAGACAAAGAATATTCACAACTTCCCTTACCCTGTAGCCAAAAGGTCGTGGGAGGCTTGGCTGCTGAGTGTAGTGTGGGGACAAACTCTCGTTAACTACACAAGTTTTGGTTACAGACTGCAGAAGGTGGTGGAGGCAAAACTAACACTGGACCAGTAGATACTGACATAGAAGATCAAGGGGGTGGCTCATCAACATCCATCAGTAGACTTGGGATTGGTGAAAACCTGAAGGCACAGGTCGCCAGGATCACCCCAGCATGATGAATGGAGTCTAGTGTATTGAGTCTAACTTCAGTGGCTGAGGAGTACACCTCACACCCATAATCCAGTTTGGGTCTAACTAGCATGTGGTAAAGGTGTAGCAGAGTTCCTCGGTCAACTTCGATTTGTGCCCCAAGACTATTAATAACTTGAGAGCACGTTGGCAACACTATGAGGTAATGAATATGTGGCTGTCACATTACCCGGTTGTCGAAGATAATACCCAGGAAACAGGTCTCTGTGACACACTGCACACGACGACTATAGAGTTGTAGATCGGGATCTGGGTGAACACCCCGAAGGCTGCAGAAATGCATGGCAACGATCTTCAAAGAGAAAATCTGAAACCATGTTCTGTGGTCCAATGTGAAACCTTGTCTAGTGCGAGTTGCATGCAACATTCAGCCACTGACATGCAGTAAGCTGTATACCAAATGGCAAGGTCGTCTACATACAATGAGATTGATACACCATGTAAGGGGTTTATATTCCAGTCCAATGATTGGTGGAACTGTGTTGTTCAGTGTTGGGTTTGTTTTCTGCGTCAGATGCAGGTGTTGCTCATGTGTGGGTTCAAACCGAGTCATAGTGCTGAAGTTTGCGAACGTATGGCTGGTCATAGCTCCTTTCCTCTGACACAGTTGGTCATCTGCTACCTGCCAGAGTATTCCATATTATTTATTATCATTTTTGGTTTATGGTTCCTATGGTGTTATTTGTGTTTTAAGGATACCTTGTGTAATGTTTATTAATTACATGTACCGTATCCTCGATAATCATGGGACCTGATAATCTGATCTGGCTGATCATGTTATCCACAGTTAAACTTATCACCGATTTATCTGAGTTATCGTGGCATTATCATGTAACACCAATGGGTCTGCAAGAGCCTCTCGGTACTAGCGACTGCCAAGAATGCAGCACAGCTCTTAGCACTCCAGTTCCAACAATAGCATTCGTTTCCCTGTGCTGTTTGGTTGGTGTTTGAAGACGGTTTCTTGCTCCGTGCTTGTTTATGGAGCAATTTTTGTACCCATACTTAACCTCCACCATGACACCTGTGAACAAGAAGAGTGATAAGGTTCCTGATCCAGCCAAACAACGGAGATGTTGAATGTTCCGATGTTCCCAGAACATAATGTGGAAGGAATACGACATTGTTCATTTATATTTGCACTTAATCTTGTGGGTAGACATCAACTGTTCAGTTGTGTCTGGCAATGCTGCAGCTAGTGTTACCAAACAATCTGACTGATGCATCATCTCACCACTTACCACAATCTCCTCCACCACCACCAGCTCCATGATCACCACCATCACCACCACTACCTCCATTAACACCACCTAAATCATCATTTCAGTGATGGGTGCTTTAGCCAGAGAAGATTAACCACGACGTCCACTGCACAATATCCCACCCATACCTTCCTCCCTCCCACCCATCCACTGTGTCTCACTGACACTCTGCCCTTCAATCAACTATGACAGTCATTCATTATACAATATTGTACAGTACTGTACAGTAAGACCGCATATTTTGCGATATTTCATTTCGCATTTTTTAAATTCACGAGCACTACCTAATGTAACCAAGTCACATTTGGTAAATATTGTGAAGTTTGCGAGATCAACCAACTGAATGCTTGGCCACCGCCTTGAATAACGCCACAACCCGCCATACCAGTTATTCGAGCCATCCACCGACCGCCCGGCTGTTATTGCGCGATTTTTTTGTTCAATACTACCTGTCGAGTCAAATAATGGCCCTCTACACTCTACTAGGGTCCTACTGGTGTTGTTGGGACAGACCCACCTAAGCTGCCAAACAAGAAAAGAAGAAGCGACCATAGTAAAGGGAATTAAGTTTGCCAAGTACTCCTATGCAGGATAAGCAGCATGTGATTAAATCATTGAGGAAGGCCACAAAAACTAGTGAGATAAAAGAAAGATACTGGTTTCCGAAAGCACAATCAGGTCAATAAAGGCAAGAAAGAGGAGAAAAAGAAGTCTTTTAGAGTGGCAAAGAAGTTCTTGGTGAAATACAGGAGTCAAATAGAGCGAGTACGAATCCTCTGAAAACCAGGCTGAAAGCGACAGAAAATTTTTGAAGTGGCTTGCCTATGCGACAAAAAATGCAAGCGATGGATCACAAATTCAGATACCAAGCTCCCATCTTTATGCTGCAACCATATGCAAGAAAAACATAAATAATCCCCCTCAATTTGGTGTTTTTGTTGGCTGGCTGGCAAACTTTAGAGACGTTGTGGTGTGAGAAAAGCAAATACAAAATTGTGGAGAAGTTTAAGTCAGCAGGCAAATGGCCGTAGATTCATTTCCAGAGATAGCAAAGCAACTTGTGGGAAGGTTGATACTCATTGGATCAAATTTATAATCGTGATGAAATGGGTTTCTACTGGAAAACAACCTCCACGTGCTACTTTTTATATGAAAGAAAGGATGACAAACAGGCATGTGGGGAAAGATAGCTAAAGACCGGTCACTAACTACAAACCACAAATGCATCAGGTCAGCATAAGATGAAGCCCTTAGTTATCTACGATCAAAGAAGCCTCATAACACTGCAATTTTGACATGAATAACTTGAATGTGTATTGGAAACAAAATCAAGGGTTACATGATGCAAAATATTTCCCACAAGTGGTTTGATGAGGTTTTAGTACTTAGACTCACGGACGTAACTGCCGGCTTTTATTTGTACAGTATTACCGCTAGCGGTTCCTTAGCGTTTATCATATCTCGCGGTGCCTCGCCGAGTGAACTTTCACTTACACGGATTTTTTCACATATCGCGGTGAGGTCCGGCGAACGCTATTTTTAGATTTGCCCCGCACCACCCGCCCGCCTGCCTGCCTGTGCTTCGCCTTCCTCCTCCTGGGCAAGCGGGCGCGGTAAGGTTTGCGCAGTGTGTCTTTTGTTATTGACTGACGGACTGTGATTGGCCATGCATCCCACTCCCCCTGCTGCTAGCTGTAATTGGCTTAAAGTATTATGACGGACCACCCCGGGAGGGGAGGGAGGGAGGGAGGAGGGAGGAGGAGACGATGCTTGACCCAGCCGCCGCAGTTTCATCCCTCAAGGCCAGCACCAGGTAAACGCCAAGATCCATTGTTCCGTGAAATGGCTTCCGCTGACCACCACCGCCACCAGAGAGAGACCTTTACCTGACCCAGCGGCACTAAGCCAAAGAAGACATACATTCTTAAGCTACGAGGT